ACACACACACACACATACACACACATGTGTGTGTGTGTCTTAATACAAGCCTTTCCAAGTTGTCCTCACACATTTAAGACTCTAGGCTAGGGTTGCTGTACATTTCCTGTAGAATATCAGATCACAAAGATTTTGGGCTTCTCTGGTCAGAAGCAACTCTGCCCTCATAGCTGCAATCATCCATAAACAATATATGCAAATGATGGGTGTAGCTGTATCCAAATAAAATTTTATTTGCAACCTAGATTTGGCCTAAAGTGATAGTTTGTCAACCCTGGTTAGGGTTGAGTGGTAGAATGCTTGCCTAGTATGTAATAGGCCCTGGTTTGAACCCAGGACTGTGGGGGGAGGTGGGGAAGCACCATTTTGCCAACCCTGGCCTAGACCCTCAAAGCAATCAATTGATAATGGCCACATAGCCCAAGTTCTCCAGTACCATCTTGTTTTCAAATATTTTCATCCTTTTATACAACATGAGCCAAATCTCATGTCCCAAATCATCAAGGTTATTTTGAGGCCAACACAGAGGTTGTAAAAGCAATCATACTTTGTCAAAATCTATAAAAGTGTGAATCGCTCTGTCTTGGAAATCTGCTGGGCTTCAGTATTTCACAATTATTTATAGCAATAGAAACTGAATGCCCATGGTAGCTCTGTCTGCTTTCACAGAAACAGCTGAGCAAAACTGCCTGTTTTACCTTTTTGCCTATAACTAGACTTTTATGGACTATTTGACACAGGTAAAGCTCTGTTCTCCCTTTCTCTATTTTTAGGGAAAGAGTCCATTTAAAAAACTGCATCAGAGTTGGGCACAGTAGTACATGCCAGTAATCCCAGCTACTTGGAAGGCTGAGACAGGAAAAAATCACAAGTTTGAAGCCAGCCTCAGCAACTTAGTAAGACCATGTCTCAAATAAATAAATAAATAAATAAATAAGGACTGGAGATGTAGTTCAGTGATTGAGAGCCCCTGGGTTCATTCCCCAGTACTACCAAAAAAAAAAAAAAGTGGATTATTCTACCTCAATGTCCCAAACTGAGCTAGGCCTGTCCTCTCCCTCTTCCTGCTTTTTCCAAGACCTGCTCCTCCTAGTCTTCCTTCATCTCAAATAAATGGCAATTCCATTTTTCCAGTTGCTTAAGCCAAAAATTAGTACTAGCCTTGTTGCCCAGCTCACTGCTGTCAATCATTAAATCCTGTAGTCTCTACCTTGAAAATACATGCAGAAATCAATTCTTAACAATCAATAAATTCTTAACATCTCCAGTTTTCAGTCTTGCTCAAATCACCCTCTTCTCTTTCCAGGATTATTTCAATAAGGTCTTAATTGGTTTCCCTGCTTCCATCTTTTCTGCCTTTAGTCTATTCAACACTGAAGCTAAAGTGTTCCATTCAAACCCAAGTCAAAACCAAGCTCAAAATCTTCCAAGGAACCTGGTGCTGCGACGCAACCTGGGAGGCTTATCGGAAATCAAGTTGCAGGCCAGCCTCAGCAACTTAGCGAAAAATCTGTCTCAAATTGTTTTTCTAATTAAAAAATCAAAAGGGCTGGGTGATAGAGCACCCCTGGGTTCAATCCCTAGTATAGCAAACAAACAAAAAACCTTCCAGTGATTTTCTATTACAATCATAGCAAAACCCAAGCCTTTAAAATTCCTGCATCTTCACCTCTTGGGGTTGATTTCCTTCTCTACTATCCTGGTTTACTGTGCTACAATGACACTGGCTTTGTACAGGGCAGCTTCTTCCCCTAACTCTCATCTGGGGCCTTTGTATTTCACCCAGATATAGGCATGACTACTGTTGAAATTTCCTTCAAGGAGGCGGCCTTGGTTCAAACTTATTTTAAAAATTTTGCTAACTCCCACTCCCAACACTCCCTATCTTTTTATTGTTTTTGTTTTTCTGTTTTGTTTTTTAGTACTACCCACCAACTAATTTTTTAATTTCTCTTGTTTGTCTGTCTTGCCCACCATCATCCCTACCCAGAACTTAAGCTTCCTGAGGGTTGGGATTTTTATTTCTTTTGTTTACTGGTTGCACGCAGTGCCTAGTAAGTGGTCAGTAAACATTTGTTTCGGTTAAGAACTCTCGACGTTGCGCTTATCCAGGTATTGTGAATTCCATAAGGTAAAGGCATACTTAATCCCAGCCTAGAACTGGTATATTTTCTTATAAAAGAAAAGCAACAAATGTGCAGGCAAGGGCTTTTTAGATCTCTATGCTATTGGCAAAATGATAACATCTAGTATTAGTTATCTGGAAGCAGTTACTTTACAAATACTTTTGAGTCCTCCCAGGAACCCGTAAGGTGGCATTAATATGTGCATTTTCCCTATCTAAGACGTGTCCGAGGCAAACAGCTAGCGAACGGCCAAACTGAGACACACAAATCATAAGCTCCTGTGTGGACCCGACTGAGGCCGCACAGACGCCTTCGCTTTGAAGCTGGACGCCAGAGGATTCTCACGTGTGCTGGGACCGAAGCTTCGCCACCCGCTGCGTTGAATCCAACAGGGAGGCGGCTCCGTGGGTCCTCAACGCCGAGCCTCTGCACCTGCCAGGCACCCTCGGATCTCGCAGAAAGAGCTCCCAGCAGCTTTTCTCCGATACCTACCTAAGAGCTACCCCCTCCTTCGTCGCCGCCATCCGGCGTTCCCCGCTCATGCTCTCGCTCTCGATCGATCTTTCCTCAGGACCGCCAACCGTCTGGGCTTCCTTCAGAAACCTACTCCTAGAGCTACCCAAGGGACCAGGGGTGCTCCAGGACAAAAGCATTCACCGAACTCCCTCACAAACCGACCGTCTCACGTCCTCATTCTTAGCCGCCAAGTTTCAAATTTAACGGTCCTGCGCGGCTAACGTGGCCACGCCCCTCTACTCTTCTGGGCTCGCGCCTCTCTCCCAAGGCATTACGGGACTTGTAGTTCATCCCGGATATAGCTCGCGTGGTCGCAGTGCACAACGGGAGTTGTAGTTTACAAGATCCATAGCTGCCCAGGTGCAGCAGGCACTACAAATTGTTGCAGGTGAGCTCTGCATCCGAGCTCTAAGGTGGACCTCTGAACCGAGTGAGGGATACTTTAAGCACCAGAATTTCTTTGACGTTTGGGAAGTGTCTTTGAGTAAATGCATTTGGCCAAACTCTCAGGTGCTGCAGCCTAGTTCTGTAATTCAAGGTGCTGTGGCTCATTTTGTTTTTTTTTTTTTAACTTTACATTAATACTGTTTTCGCATTACATTTCCTTCCCCTAAGGTGTCACCTCTACAACTCAATTTGCACCACTTCTTCTAAACTATCTTGGAAGAGTACCATTTGTTCTTTTGATTTCAGTCTTTCTTGTAGCCTAGTCAGAAGTTTCATAAACTATGGTACAACAGATCACAATCAGAATGAATCCCTTGATTATTGTGTTAAGGGGAAACAGAAATAGGTAAGAAAGAGAGTCAGAAGAGCAGAGGGTGAAGTATATCTATAGTACACATCTACCTCTTCTGTATTTACCACTGTCCGGTGAGTTTTCCCACTCAGGTCTTACCTCTTTGGAACTCTATGCAGGCCCATCAAAACTTACCAGTCCTGTGTCTCTCACTTAACCACCATAATGAAACATAGAAATTAAATCACACTGAAATGTGATTAACAGTTAATGCTATTGTGTGGTATTTTCCACATCATGTTCTAAGATGCCAAGAGATATTACAGGGGAATAAGTGTTTTATATTCAATTGTTTCTGAAATGTGTAGTTAAATGAACAGCTCCCTAGGCCCCTTAATATGCCAAAGTGCACCATGAATCTCCAAGGGAAGGATATAGTAGCTTCCTATTGCCTCTGTAACAACACAAACTTAATAATTGAAAATGATGCAAATTTATTATCTTATATTTTGATAGATCCAGAATTTGACATGGGTCTCATAGGGCCAACCAAGGTATTGGAAGAACTTTTTATTTTCTGGAGGCCCTTTGGGAAAATTTGTTTCCAGTTTTTTGTTTGTTTGTTTTTTGGTACTGAGGATTGAACTCAGAGGTGTTTAACCACTGAGCACATCCCCAGCCCTTTTTATTTTTTATTTTGAACCAGAGTCTCACTAAGTTGCTTAGGGCCTCGTTAAATTTCTTAGGCTGGCTTTGAACTTGTGATCTTCCTGCTTTAGCCTCTTGAGCCACTGGGATTACAGTTGTGCGCCACTATGCCCAGTTTGTTTGTTTCCAGTTTTTTGAGGCATCTACTGGCATCCTGTCTCATGGCTCCCTTCTTCCTTCTTCAAAGCCAGGCTCTCATTGTTACATCTCTCTCTGACACAGTAAAATTTCTTTGCTTTATAAGGGCTCATATGATTAGATTGGGCTTACTGGGGATAATAGAGGACAACCTTTCCATATTCAGGTCCTGGACCTTAACCATATCTGCCAGGTCCTTGCCGCATAAGGTAACAGATTTATTGGTTCTGTGGATTAGGACATGGACATTTTGGGGAACCATTGTTATATTGTGTGCATGTACAAATTTGTAGCATCAGATTCCACTGTTATGTATTTTTACAATACACCAATAAAAAAGTACAAAAAATAGCTATAAAATATAAAAATAGTGCCTCTTAGATGGATCTAGATATTGGTCTATGATCTTGCACTTTGTCTTTTGGAGATATGTGCATTCTAGATTGTACAAAGGCTGATTTCACTACTTTTATCATCATGGATCATACAAAAATCAAGCTTTAGCAGGCCAAACACTCCAGAGATGAAAACCTCTGGGTCTCCAGGGAACACTTGGATTGATTGCTTGTTTGCTATGCAACCACAGAAGGAGGAGGGACTATTTCGGGATAGGATGAAGCTCAAGGAGGACAGAATTAGGGATGATGGGCCTGAGCCTAGGACCAGAAAGGATACTGAATCTGGAAAAGCAGCATCACCATGCTGGCTAAACCCTAGCAGAAGATCGGCCAATCAGAACAGCATCTACATGTTGAATTTACCAATGATTAGGTGTCTTAAGGTTGAAGAACCAATGAGAAGGAAGTATAATTAACCAAACCAACTTGTATTATCAAGAGAAAGGGAAGAAGAGGGTTAAAAGAAGCATTGGCCCAGGACTGGGGGCTGCTTGCTGCTGACCAGTTGCATCTCACAGTAGCTGTTTCTGACAGGGTACTAGGGAACTCTCCAAGGACCTGGGTTTCTCTTTCTCCAGTTCAATGGAAACTCCTTTCTAGACTATATACTGCTTCTTTTCTGCAGAAGCACCCTACTTTTTATGGTCTTCTGAAAGTGTTGGAAATAGCCTGACCTAGAATTTTCACCCTGATACATGTAACAAATGTACATGCTGAATGGGGAGATACCAGTTATCAACTTTTCTGCATCTGGCAGAAGAGAACCTAAAAGTCAGAATAGACCACAAGCTGAGAACATAAGCAATTATATGGCAGGGCTGTTGAGAAACAAGGTAAGATGCAGAGTTAATAAGTTATCTAGGTATTAGGAAGTGCAAAATTTGTCTGTTTTACCCTAGCATTATCCTAGCTAGTACTGTGTTCTAAGCAGATCTTGGAGAATTTTAGAGAGTTCCCCACTTTTGGTGATTGTGCTTGTTTTACACAAGAAACAAAGTGGCAGTGAGATTCACTCATGGAGGAAGAATAGAGTAGGCTTTGGATGCTGTCAGCTTCTTGTTGCAAGTCCAGTGCTCAGGGCACCAGCAACCTCATTTCTAAAGTAAGGGATTCAACCAGTACTCCCATGGGTAAGGTGTGACCCACACATTGATGGGTGGGGCCTCGGCAGGCAATTTTGTTTGTCTTTGAGGAAGAAGAATGGTGAAGGTAGGAGGTTTGCCATAGGTTTGGAGGGAGCTGGAATGGGGAGGCCACATGATATTCATCTTGGAAAGTGATCTTCTTTGGCCTGGTCCCAAGGATTTGTTGCCTTGTGGAGAGAGTCCTGTAGACAACTGTCATAGGAACCAGTACTGTATGAAGTGGCCTCCAGCAGTACTGACTTCATGCCCAGGTGCTAAGGGCATGGTATCTCAAGGATTGGCCATTCTGAGAGCACCAGGAGGTCACCTCTGGGGCAGGACATTAGCACCCCATAGCAGGTACCAATAGAGGTGAAATGATCTCCACTGGCCTCAAAGGGGACAGAATTGAGGATAAGGGGGCAGTGCCTAGGACCAGAAGAGACTATCAAAAAAGGGGGCTGGAACAGGAAGGAATCACAATGCCCGTACTCTGGAAAACACTCAGAGCCCTTGAGAAGGGTTAGAAAGGGGTCTCATTCAGGGCCACATATAAAGATGTATAAATTTTGCTGCACCCAAGGCTGCCTAGACAAAGATATAAATGGTGACCTGTTCCTGCTTTTTCCATTAAGAGGGGGGACCTTCAAATGTTCGTCTGCCTAGAGAGGCTTTATCTTTCTAATTCACATGAAGCACTGTGTGTGTCAGTTGTGGCCCTGAGACTGAAGGTCCTGTGGAAGAGCTAGTGGAATTTTCATTACTAGTGTTCATGTGACTCCATAGCTCTGAGGCCTGAAGAAACCAGTCACTTACTGCTCTGTCTGTATTGAAGGGGTTGTGGGGATGGCTCCTGGAGGAAGCAATCGGTGTGGGAAGTTGACAGGAGGATGGAGTGCCTGAGGGGTGGACCTGTTCAGGATCCCCTTGCATTTCTGTCAGGCAGGCTTTCTTGCACCCTGGCTCAGACATAGCCTGGTGTAGACCATGCAAAGTTGGCTTCTGACATTCTGAGGGGCCCAGCTGCAAGAGGCATTCTTGCAGATCTGAGCCCTGAGTTGAGGAGGTAACTACAGCCTATGGATGGGAGGGATGAACCTCTTCTGCCTCTATGTACAATAGGGTCTTCCCTGTGACAGCTGCCACAAGTGATCATGTTCGGTGTTGGATCTGCTCTGGGCACACATCTCACTGTTGGCCCAAGCCAGCCTGTCAGTTCCATAGCTCCCCTGCTGGAAACACAGGGCGCCAAAGCATGCAAACATCCCAGCCTCTCTCTCCTTTCCAAGGAAAAGCCAGAGATCAGACACCCCCAGGCTGGGAGGGAGCCAAATGATTACAATTTAATTTGGCTGAATATGGGAGCTAAATTGCCCACAGATATAAGTAAGATGATTCAGAGAAGAATTAAGTGAGTTACAAGCTATTTTACCCTTGTTTGTGCCTCGACCCTTGTTCTTAAATACTGTCCTTTTTTTATTTTTTATTTTTTTATTTTTATTTTTTTAAAGAGAGTGAGAGAGGAGAGAGAGAGATAGAGAGAGAATTTTTTTTAATATTTATTTTTTTTAGTTCTCGGCGGACACAACATCTTTGTTGGTATGTGGTGCTGAGTATCGAACCCGGGCCGCACGCATGCCAGGCAAGCGCGCTACCGCTTGAGCCACATACCCAGCCCCTGTCCTTTTTTTTTTAGGGAAGAAACAACCTGGAGATTTAGTTTCCAGCTGAAATTGGTCAACATTCTTCCTTTACAAAACAAGATTGGGGGGCTGGGGATGTGGCTCAAGCGGTAGCGCGCTCGCCTGGCATGCGTGTGGCCCGGGTTCGATCTTCAGCACCGCATACAAACAAAGATGTTGTGTCTGCCGATAACTAAAAAATAAAAGTTAAAAATTCTCTTCTCTCTCTCTCTAAAAAAAAAAAGATTGGGAGACCACTGAAAGAGCTGAACTGGGGCCCCTTCAAGAGCAATTCAGAGGTGTTGGTAAAGATGGCACCCAGAGTGCTTCTCTTCCGTGAGCTCAGGAAAGATGGCGCCCGGAGCACTTCTCTTCTCAGGTCCATGACGCACTGAAGGCGCGGGAACCATCCTGAATGGCGTGAACTTTGAATGGTGCAC